GGTGGTTAAACTGGCAGTATGGGCTCCTCTGTGTGCTTCTCCCTGCTGAGCCATCTCTCTCTGTCCCCAGGATATGTTTTTAAGAGATGATGCTGTAATCATACCTTGGCCTTAAATTCTTTGAATAAAATCTCCTGGTTAATATATGATGAAATAGAGCTTTACAGTTAGGATTTTGTATTTAGGTTTTAGGAAACCCATTCTTTATAGAAGAAATTTCCATATTTGTAACAACACACAAATAGATAAATTACCAAGTGACAGTTTTTTGTTTTTTTTTTCTGGAATTTGGAAGGGGGCCTCTTTCGTAACTACCATTTAAAAGGTGAGGTTTCACCCCAGACAAGGAGCTACAGGAGACTAAGGAACGCTGAGAATGGGAGAATTAGTCTTCCCCAGAAAGAACACGCCAGCTGGTTATCTAATACCAAAGGGACGCCCCTGAAAACAAGCAGACTGAGAAGCCTGTGATTACGTTTCTAGGGATACATGTGTATACACATATGTTCACATATGTGCAAGTGTATGTGACAACAGTTAAAGAGGCAATGGCTTTGAAAGAGAAAGGGAGGGTAGGAGGACTGGGAGAGAGAAATGGGAAAGTGATGCAATTATAATCTCAAAAAATTATTAAAAATACCATTTTTCTTTTAAACTGTGATGAAAAGCCCACTCAGATCTAAAGCCAACACGAATCCCTTACAATTATACTGTTTTTTTTCTTCACCTAAAAATATGAATTTTCTTATTGTGCATCTTGCTTTTAAGTTTTCTCAACTTTTTGATTAAGAAGTAGAATAAAAGTAAACTAATAGTGAGTAAATATAACTCGCAGGAAGTGGTAAATGATTTTTATTGAAGATTTTAAAATGTATACAGCATGTGTATATTGGGTGAAATAAATACAATATTGTTTATTTCTGTATCTGCATGGCTTTTCTTCCTCAGACTTCCTGTGTGTTACCTACATGTTACCGGAGAATATGTATGTTTTCACCTCATAGGAACACAGACACAGTACAGTCTAGGAAACAGGAAGTAGAGAGGTCACATTTACACAAGCCCTTGGCTTTTCACAGGAGAATGATCGGGGCAATACTCATGCTAGTTAGATAGCTATATTCCTATCCAATTTCCTTTCTGTTCTTTGTAGCTAAAACAGAATTACAGAGAAATGTCAGAAAGCCCTCTAATGAGCTGCAAAACCATCGAATCAAAAGCCAGACTCCGTTAAAACAAGCTCTCCATGGAGATGATGATATTTTGAATAATGCATACTTATATAAGTTGTATTGAGATCTGATCACAGCCCTCTGAACAACCGTGATTCTTTTAGAAAGAAAAGTGTCTCTCTTGTGCTACACCAATGGCCAATCTATTTCTTTTTTGCGGTGAACTTGTGAGTAGCATTTAAAGTGTGTTTGAACTTGGATAGGCATATTAAGTAAGTATAAAATTTTTTAAAAGTAAAGCGCATACAGCAAGCTGTAAAGTAATACAGGGCATACTTTTAACTTTGTCCTTAGTGTCCTAGGTTATTTTCCTAGCACTTTAAAACTGAAACCAGCCATTAGGCAATGGTTGTATTCAACACAGCTGTTAGAGTCAGAGCTCCTTGCTATTGTGTGATGTGTTTATGGAAGAGTATACTTACACTTCACTTCCCGTTTGTCTTGAATATTGTTACAATTGTGTTTAGTGTAGGTTTTCTTTATAATTCTGCATTTTAACCGTGCAGCAACATCCTGAGAAGAGCCCCGAGAAGAGCCCTATGAATTGTGTTGCAAGAATAACCCGTAGTCAGATTGAACTGTGTATTTATCTAGATGTTTAAAAAATGATTTCTTTATTTCCATGTGCATTGGTATTTTGCATACATGCATGTTTGTGTGAGGGTGTCGGGTCCCCTGGAGGTAGAGTTATAGTCAGTTGTAAGGTGCCATGTGGGTGCTGGGAATTGAACCCAGGTCCTTAGGGAGAACAGGCAGTGCTCTTAACCTCTGAGCCATCTCTCTCCAGCTCCCTCTTCTAGTTTTCTAAGGCACTTCCTTTGTGTTTTATTTTGCTTTGTTCAAGACTCCCGATGTTGTCCATCCCAAAGAAGCACTTCCCTCATCTGCCGTCTGCAGTATTCGGCCTTCGAGAGTTGTGTCTTCTACCTCTGAGGAAGAAGAAGCATTCACTGAGAAATTTCTCAAAATTAATTGCAAATACATCACCAATGGCAAGGTAAGGAACACCATCTTGACTTTTTCTAAACTGTAAAAGCTTGACATGGACATTGTAAGTCAAAAATGTCAGCCATCCATGAGTATCTATACAAGGTTTTGGTAAGTGTATGTTTGGTAAATGTTAGCCATGGACCTTGCTTCATGACTCAGCATCTGGTGACCTGTGGCAGTTATTGAAGGTCATGATGTATAAATAAACTCACTATAAGCACATTCATGTAGTGGTCTTTTGCTAGGATACTAAACATCTAGAATGATCCAGCAATTGAAATACAACTCGTCCTTATTGAATATGTACTATATGGTAGAAAGTATTAGGTGTGTTTATTTAATCTATTAAAATAGGAATAAACAATGCTACTTTGGGGTGAGTAAATTACCTTTTGAAGTGCTTAGGTATGCTTCTTATACTTGGGGATATGCAGGTAATCTTCGTTAACTAATGTCTGATTGACCCCATGTGGTCAGAGAACCTCCTTACTCCTGTGTGAAGGCTTGATATAGGGCAACTTACTTCCTGACCCAGAGTCTTTGATAAATCTTGTGTGTATGCTTGAAAAACCCACCTATTTTGCTTCTACTGAGTGGAATATTTTGCAGTGCCAGTGAGATCAAGTCGGGCAGTGCTAGTATTCTTACTGAGTTGTTGTTTTTCTGTAAATTCATGACCAGGATATGGCACTGGCTCATTGTAAGCGTTAGTTTTCTGCTTGGGTTCCATCAGTTGATAACTCTCAGATTTTCAGTGTGCTGTCAGAGATGTGGAAATGTCTGTTGTTCTCACGTTGTTCTGATGAATTGACTCAGCCTGAAAAGCCCCCAGTGGCCCTGCCTGAAGTCTGCTGTGCTGGACATTGCTCTAGTTCTCACTTCCTTTTGGGAAGTGTTAACATGGTCCATGCATGCCTGCACTTTCAGGCAGTCCGTATGAGGTGTGTTTCTTGTGGAGCGTGTACGACTTGAGATCTTAGTCAGGTGAGTTTGCGATGGTCAGTTCTTGAGATTTTCACAAATTTGACCTTGAGGAAAGACATTTAAAGGAGTCACCTGTTCATCCTTCTAGCCCTCAGGGTGGATTCCCAAGATAAAGCAGGTTGGTGAATCCAGAGGGTAAGGTGTCACCTAGGTTAAGAGAGGCTGCAGAAGGAGCTTTGGAGGCCTTTGGGTAGCGTTGATGTGTTTAGAGAAGTGGGGCTTTGTCATTACACTGGGCCCTTTGTTCCCTTGTAGCCTGTTAGCATTATCTCCTGTGAGAGTCCTCTGAAATGTAACAGAGGATGCGTTGGTGTTAAGAGCTGAATCTGCTGTGGGCTGGGTTGCTCTCAGCGGTAGGATATTTGCCTTGAATGCATGATGCGCTGGGTTTGATCGTCAGTATTGCCAAAGCCAATAAACATACAACCCAGGATACTAAACTATCTGTGAAAATTCCTATAATACTGCCAAAATCTCTTTCAAAGACCCTCTGATGTGCTTGCTAAATTGTAGCCAGTTGCTTGGTTTCATTTCTCAAAATCTGTAGTTTACAGAAATTGAAGGGCCAGAAGGCCAGCAACCTCTCAGGGTTTTGTTACAGTGCGTGTGTGTGCTGTCCTTGTGTACATGCTTATCCGGCTGTCCCCAGCAGTGTCACTGTCCTCTGTAGGGCTTTCCTGGCTCTCACTGGCTTGTGTTCATCTGTCTTTCAGCAATATACAGTGCTGTGAATGGTTCCATGGAAATACTGCTCAGAGCTGGGAAGGCTAAAGTTCTCCTGCCGAAGACTTATTCATTGTCTGACTAAGAGAAGTGCCGGCGAGGGGCTTTGAGAAGGCCCAGTGGGTAAAGGGCCTTGGAAGCAAAAAACTGGCTTGTGCAAGTTGTCCTCTGACCTCCTCAAACGTGTTCTGGCACATAGGCCACACGCGTGTGCACACGCATGCACGCGCACCCTCACTGTGAGTAGAGAGGTTCCCCCACACCCTGTGTGCACACGCCCTTCTTACTTTAATATTACATGGGTTTACCCTAAGTCTTTCATACCTGTAACTCCTCCTGCTGTCCATTCTCACTTTCCTTGGGTCACACCAGTCCTCAGGATGTCTTCCAAGTGTCACTAAGTGAAGCTCACTCCGTCCTGTAAGAGGCACTGTCTGCCATGACGGTCTGAGTTTGGACAGGAAAGAATCGATACCAAATCAAGCAGGATGCCCAGTTTCTCTTTCCCTGGCAGCTCAGGAAAAAGCCATATGACTTGAAATAACCAATTGATTTTCAGAAATTTGTCACACTGCCTTTATGTTTGTAAAATATCTTGGAAGAAGATGTTTCCTACGTGGAGTGCATGTGTTTTGTGACGTGGATTCTGAGCAGTGTGGGAAGAACGTGGCGCCCAGATTGTGTGTCGTCCTCTTTGTCTCTTGTGTTTTGTAACAGATTGCCCTCTCGCCTCACCTCTGTTTTCACATCTGTAAAATGGAACTTGTGCCTGTTTCGGAGCTAGGATAGTGAGCATCAAGTTAACAGTGTGTGAACAGAGTATGCTCTCCATGAAGCAGTAAATACTAATTTATACCAATGCTGTCAACTCTCGTCTGTAAACATTAATTGATAAAAGTAGGTTCTTAAAGATTTATATCTTTTTATATAAACTCATTTAAAATTCACAGTCTTTAATGGCAAATAAAAAGTAGTTAAAGTTTAATATGAATTTTATCTAATCAAACCTATAGATGAAGAAATGTGCCCTAAAACTTTGCACACTGAAGATCTCGTAGCTAACGAATAGCAAATGTCAGCTCAAACAATGTTTCTGTGAAATTAACTCTTTTACCCTTGAGAATGAGTTTTTAGTACACAATTTGAAAATGTACACGCTATTCTCAGGTAGCCATATTTGGAACTTGTATTGGGAGAAGAACGCAGAAGATGGCGTGTGTAGTCCTACAAAGCTTGGCTCTTTGAAGCCTAAGTTTGACAGTACCTCCTTAGCTTTAATCCAGCCACTATTTTCCTTTGTAAATCTTAATTTCACATGTTTGTTTTAGATAGAACATGATACTCTTTGCATTCTGACATTTCCTCAGGCAAAGTATAGTTTCCTGGGAAAGCACACTTTGTACGTATAAAGTAGATGGCCAGAGGTTAGAGAATACATAGTAGAGGCATCTAGACTCCGTTCTGAACGTGCAAGCTTTGAAAATTGAATGACCCTTTCTTTTTCCCTCTTAGGGCACCGTCAGTGGCGTGCTGCTCGTCACACCAAACAATATAATGTTCGATCCACATAAAACAGACCCCTTGGTTCAGGAGAATGGCTGTGAGGAGTACGGCATCATGTGTCCGATGGAAGAGGTGATGTCCGCTGCCATGTACAAAGACATTGTGGATAGCAAAATAAAGGGGTATATACCCACGTGAGTGTGCTAGTGCTCTTCTTCACTGCAGCCTTCTGTCCTGTCCTGTCCTGTGTCCTCTCTTCCTTCTCTGTCCTCTTTCTTTTTAGCACTAGATAGTTCTCTAATATTCTTATTTTATCAGTTTTAGTACAGCTGTGTTTCATTTTGTCAGTAAGGAAGGAAAACTGTAAGCAGTTTCCAATAGTCAATTCATAGTGTGTCTGGTATATAGTTAGTAATTGTGTTCTATTTATATTTATTTAGTCAAAGAACCAGATGTTTGACGAGTAGCCTCTAGTGCTCGTGTAACGTGTAACTCAGTGCTTACCAGCCTGTGTGTTATTTAGACACACAGTTAAAATTTTTAGCTTACTCTGTATTGTTACTTTTCCCTGAAGGTAGTGAAGAGTAGCATGTGGGCTGTGGAGCAGGGGTGAACACCTGGCGTTGCCATAGCCAGAACAGCTTTACGTTTGTGTTTATAGTTGTGTTTCTGGAAACAGAAGTATGAAACATGTAAGAAAAGACCTGCAGTTGTACCAACCAAGAGTTGGCCTGGGAATGTGCTGATCTGGGAGTACGTGCGATACAGCAACATAGATTTGAGACTGCAGTTTTAGGCAAAGCTTTAAAAGCGAGATGTACAACCAAGTAGCCAGCAGAAATTTTAAAAGGCTGATAAAGAAAAGGAGATATAACGTACGAGGAAAATTAGGAAGAACTGATGGGGAATAGAAAAGAACTGCCCCTCCCCCCACTCCATGCAGGACTGGCAACCCCTTAAAATCAGTCACCTTAACTGCTAACAGACAGTTTGCAGACTGATGATGCCAGTTTAAAGATTAGACCACAGGTCAGAAAAGTTACAAAGGAAAAAGCAGCAAGGCGTTTCTTCTCAGGTATATGTAAGCTGTCAGGATGCCTGGGACAGGTTTAACCCCTTTTTGGATAAGGGTCCAATCTGGCCTCCAGTGAGAGATACTGTTTTGACTTGGTAAAATAATCCTTAGAAATATAAACAACTCCTAGAAATATCATTCTAAGCCACTGGTTATATTTTTAAGTTGTCAAGCAAAGCCAGTTTCAGGAAAACAGCAAACAAACCACAGTTCGTTGTAGAGATGACACAGACGGAAGGACTAGCTAAAAGGGAAAGAGGAGTGCCCCCAGGAGTGCCATCTTGTCCTGACGCTCCGCCTTATCATTCAGCATATTACCTGGGAAGAAAGTGACCTGGGTGCAAGCATTTTAAATATCACCAGAAGGAAATACTCTTATGTCTTGGTTTATATGTTAGTTGAAATCAGGATTTGGCTTCAAACAAGATAAATGCAGCAAATCATTTTGCAGAGTAATACTTTGTTTGCAGAAACAGAGTAGAAGATGTTAATGGGTTTCACCTCTTTTTAATGTTTGGGGAATTGATTTTTAAGGTGTTGTTCTGAACTGTGTTAAGTGCCATTAGTATTAATGTTTAGCCATCCAGAATATTAATCTCAGGCTAGAAAACTCACGTAAATAAATATACTTTTAAAAAAATCAGCTAGTCTCTAGATTCTGGGTAGTGTATACTTGAAAATCTCCCAAAGCTTGGCGCCAGTTCCTTGACCTTGAGGGTGCAGTTCAAGTGAGTAACCAGTAGGTGGCACAGCTTCACATTCAGTATTGCCAGTTAGATGCCTGGGTTTCTTAAAAGATGAATACAGTGGAGAGGCAAAAGACATTTGAACTAAATGTTTAAAATAGCTACACTTTACACATCTCACTTAGAAAAATTGTGTGTTTTGTTACAAAAAACTTGAAAACCACAAGAAACTTAATCAAGAGACTTAATCAGCTTTAGTGTCCACAGGAGGCCCCTTACTTGGTGTTGACTTGTTCTCTAGCTGTATTTGCACAAATATTGGTGCTTTGCCGCTGAGACTTCAAATCATTGACATTTATCATGAAGCAACCTTAGCCATCAGCGTGAACTGCCGAAGTATTTAATGGTGCTTTCGAACATTGGTATTTACCTAAACAAATGCTAACAAAGGTGGAAATGAGACCCAGCTGTAAAACACTCACCACCGAACAGCGTAGTTCTTCAACTGAGCAAACTCTCTTAGAACTGTTCCGAGTTACTAGCTTAAGATGGCCTCAGGTTGCTCTTAACCTTTCATTATTGCTGAGTATTTTAGTTTAATCTCTCTCTGCATGTAAGTGAGGCCTGCATATGCATTGAAATTTACCATTTTCTATATTCGCCCAATGAAAGTTTGATTCACTATTATAATTTCATCAAGAATCTGTTTTCAAACTTTGTTGTAGATCACGCAAAAAGAAATCTTCCATTGGTGTCCCCCAAGTAGTAAACAGTCGATGAAAAATCCTGGTGTAATTATGTGGTATATATGAAGAGCAGGATTATTTATTTTCTGTTGGGAGCGGTGCCTCGCCTATTTTGAAAAGCCTCTCTGTGATATTTTTATTAGTTGGTTGTGGAATGTAAAATGTTACAGATTTTTAATGTCTAATAATTTTTAATTTTATTACACAACAGAGAAATAGATCAGTTGTCAGGAAGGGACGTCTGCCGTTCCAAGAAGGGGACCGGAGTCGGTGCTGAGGAAGTAGACTCGAGAACCCGTGACCCAGGTAATGACAGCGCCAGCACCGCTCCCAGGAGCACGGAGGAGTCTCTCTCTGAGGATGTCTTCACCGAGTCAGAACTCTCTCCTATCCGGGAGGAGCTCCTCTCCTCAGAGCTGCGACAGGAGAAGTCTTCGGATGCGTCCTTGGAGTCTGTGCAAACTGTCAGTCAGATGGAGGTACAATCGTTGGCTGCTAAGTCAGAGTCTGCTCACATTCCTGACCACATTAACTCCAATACTGGACCTTCTTCAGAACAAGGGCCTTTGTCTCATGAAACGGATTTAAGTAGTCTTGAACTAGCCGCTAAAGAAGGAGCTAAGGCTCCAGAAAAAGTGGAAGAAGTCTCTGGCCCTAAAGAGCAAAGCACAAATGTGAAAGGTCATGACCGGGATTCGTTACGTAATGGAAATGCACTCCAAGAGGGGGGAGACGGAAGTGTCGCTTCTGCAGAAACAGTGGGACTGAAAGAAAAGCAGACTGTGGAGAAGGACGGACAAGGGAGCGAGTCGAAACGGGACTCAGAGGCTGAAGTTGAGGAGCTGCGCCAACTCTGGAAAACTCACTCCATGCAGCAAGCTAAGCAGCAGAGAGACAGCGTCCAGCAGGTGTCACAGAAGGAAAGAAAGAAAAAAGCCCCGCCTGCCGCTGGAGACGTAGACGGTAAGTGTTGGGGAGAGGTGTTGGGGAGGGGGTGACGCCTGTCGTATTGCCTGTTGCTTTCTTCTGACCCCTCTGACCAAGATTGCTGGGTTAGACCCATTGTGAATGACAGTTGGATGCTTCCTGAGTGACGTGGCACTGGGGACTCGTCTGTGCAGTACCTAAGCACTCCTGACTCACCACATTTTCTGTGGAGTGTACCCACACCCTATAATGCATTGATAGCTCCATGTTCTTTTTAAGGTCTGGGTATGATTTTATCATTGCATATATAATATCTGAGTTACAGTTTATAATTGCCAAAGTTATAATTCCTTAATTTTTTTAGAAAGTGTAGTTGGACACGAAAATCTACTTGTAGAATTCTTTTGTGTACACAAAAATCCCATCCCTGTCTGAGTAGGTGGTAAAAGTTACCACTTCCTTCCTTAGTTCAGTTTATGGTTTCTGTTGCTAACACCCTGTGCTTTTGCTTACTGCATCATGAGCTAAGTAGCTGGGGCTTCAATAACTTAGGAACATTCTCTCAATTCTACTGAAGAGTTGCTTATGCTGATTCAGTGTAGATGTGAGCTCTCTTACTATTAAGTACGAATTAAGTTTTCCATTTTGGCTTATTGGTTATAAAATGGGCAGACACATAATAAGATTTGCATTCTAACCATTTTGAAATCTACAGTTCATTGGTGTCAGGGTATTCCTGTTGTTGGGTACTCATCACTGACACCCATCTTGGCAACTTTCAACGTCTCCTCAAATCAGCAC